CGCCGTCGCGCCTCACCTGGCCCGAGCCCGCTGCGCCGGCTCCGCCCCGGGCACCGCTCCAGCGGGGAGGCCGCCGAGGAGGAGCGCGGGAAGCCGGGAGGAGCCCAGGGGCCACGCCGCCCCCGGGCAGACGGAGAAGCAGGCGGAAGCGCGACGGTGCGAAGGCGGACCGCGGCCGCCCCGTCTCTTCTGGGAAAGCCCGCGTCCGGCAATAAAGGAGCGCTTCTTTCTTCGGCCTTTCTTTACCTTTTGGAACTCTCGGAATGTCTTGCAAACTGATAAAAAAATTTCAAGGAAAGGGGTTGTTTCAGTCGACCAGCCAACCAGCCCTCTCTTTCTTTCTCTGAAATGCCTTTTTATGATTTATTATTAATTTTTTGGCAATCAAGAGAAGGAATTCGAGGTTGGGAAGCCAAGGGGGGGAGGATAGAAAAAAGTATGTGCAACAACTATTAATATAACTTGTATTTGACTTAATAATATATCCTAATAAATTGTTTTGGAGGGGGAAAAAAGAGAAAGAATTCGAGGAAAGAAAAGGGTGGTTTATAATTTCGCTAGACGTTTTCCCTTGGGTTTTTTTTAAAGCCCTCCTTTGCTTTGCCGTTTTATGTATAACTTTCCAAAATTGTTATACGTCAATAAATGAAACTCTTTTGGGGCAATCTTATTATATATAATAATATAATATGTGTGTGTGTATATGTTTGTATATAAAACTTATTTACTTATAGATGACCTTTTCTCTGTTTCTGAAACTCTTCTATCTACCCACCCCCAGGGTAAGTAAGTAAGCTGCATTTTCAGCCTGAACCACCCCCCTGTCATTCTTTGTACCCACTTAATTGCGCAAGACTGTAATCCTACACACAGTTAATTAGGCATGAGTCCCGTTAAACTCACAAAGAGCACCTGAAGAAGGTCTCTGCTTTTGTGCAATAGTGCATCACTCATCAGAGTCTCCCACACTCCTTAAGGAAGAGCAGATTAAAAAACACACACAAATTTGGAGACAAAGAGGCAATCCTATAATAAGAGCATGAGCTCTTGTGTGTCAAATCAATATGATTTTGGTAGTCTACTAAATCTCTGGAAGGGCACCATGATTTCATCCCATTATTTCCCTTGTTTGGTTAAACTTGTGGCTCCAGAAAAATAAGACGGAAATTGCAGTTCAACTTTTGTCTTTCAACAGTGAGCAGCCAGATGTACCAGGGAGTCTCATGCAAGGCATGATGGGAATATCCACTTCTTAGAGACACTACTTGGAGGTGTTATCCCTCAGAATACCACAAGTCCAGATTATTTGTCTACTCTTGCTGCTGATGGCCAGTGGATTCCATAGTTTAACTCTCCTAAGTGCAACACTTTGTTAATGCTTCTAATACGAGAATTCTGTACAGCTAAAAAAACACCTCCCCCTATTTATTTATTTATTTAGGATATTTCTATGCCACCTTTTCAGAGTCCTGCTCAAGGTCGCTTGCAATTAAAATAAATGATAGAACACAAGCAGAATCAAAACTATATAGAAAACAGAAGCACACCATTAAAAAGCTAATAAAATAAAGCCCCTAATTAAATGCTTGGCTAGGGAGCAGGCGGGTTAGTATGGCAGGACACAGTTCTTCAGGTTCCCTGGCACCAAGCCTCAGGGGAAAGGACAGTAAGGCCAAGAACTGGTGCTTTGAATTGTGCCCAGAATAGATGGGTAGCCACTGCAGCTCTTTCAGTGCGGGGCGATAAGATCCCTGTAAGCAACCCTTGACAGTAGTCTGGTGGCTGTATTTTAAACCAACAAGTTTCCGAACAGTTTTCAAGGGCAGCACCATATAGAGTGCATTACAGTAGTCTACCTTCCTAGTTCAGTTCAGTTCAGTTTACCTTTATTGGCATTATAAAAGGGAACATTAAACAAATACATAAACTAAACATAAAATGGATCATAAATTGAAATGTCCCAAAATTACAGTATATTACTTTGTATGAGTACAGCAACATGTAAAAACTTTGCCACTGAATTAGTCATATTGTCATCAGTGTTGTTAAGTAGAAATGATTTATATGTATCAGGAAAACCCATAATGCTGGATAAAATTGGAGATAAAATACTTTGTTTAATATTATTATAATAAGGACACTCTAACAGCACGAGACACTGTTTCAATTGTTGTTCAGTCACACAGTAGAGTCCGACTCTTTGCGACCCCATGGACCAGATCGCGCCAGGCCCTCCTGTCTTCCGCCATCCTCTGAAATTTGCTCAGTTTCATGTTCGTTGCATCTATGACACTGTCTAACCATCTCATCCTTTGCCGTCCCCGTCTTCTTTGACCTTCAATCTTTCCCAGCATCAGGGTCTTCTCCAGTGAGGGCTCCCTTCTCATTGGGTGGCCAAAGTATTTGAGCTTCAGCTTCAGTATCTGGCCATCCAGGGAACAGTCAGGGTTGATTTCTTTTAGGATTTCAGTAGTTCAATAGTTCCATTAAAACAAGGGCAATGTCTATTAGTAAGGGGTATACCCTGAAATCTTCTGGTTAAAATCGCTGAAGGTAAAACATTAAGCCTAGCAAGAGAAAAAATTCAGTAGTCTACCTTGGATGTGATCAGATCTTGAATCACTGTGGACAGATTATCCTTTTTGAGGAATGGCAGGAGCTGGCAAAACAGAGCTACGTGCCACAAAGAAGATCTGAGCCTTCAACCGTAGGCCAGGATCGAGTAGTGCCCCCAAGCTACAAACCTGCTCGGGGGGGGGGGTAACCTCCTCCAGGACAGGCTGGCTCTGCAATCTGGATTGACCAAAAGCACCTTAGCCTTGACTGGAACGAGCTTCAGTGTATTGGCCCTCATCCATCCCATTGCCTTCTCCAGGAACCCACTGAGAACTTCCACAGGCCCTCCTTGGCTTAGCTATTAAGGATAAATAGAATAGGGGGGGGTCATCTGTGTATTGGCGGCGCCTCATTCCAAATCCATGGATGATCTATCCCAGTGGTTTCATATAGCTGTTAAATAGCATGGAAGATGGAACCCTGCGGGACCCCATCGCATAAATGCACCCGAACACCACCTTCTGGAATTAGGTGGCCAAGTAAGAGCAGAGCTGATGAAGCGTAGTGCCCTCTACTCTCAGTTTAGTCATTTCAGGACAGAGATGCCTTCTTCAGGAGTAGCATCACAACCACCTCTTTCAAAGAAGTCAGAACCACACCCTCCTGCGCAGAGACATTTATTGCTTCCTGGACCCAGTCAACCAACCCAGCCCATACTGCTTAAGCAGTGGCATTCACTTGTTCACAGCGGTGTAGCTGTGCAACTTCCTGGGATTTCCTCCATGGGCCAAGTGGCAGTGTGTGTGTGTGTGTGAAGGAGGAGACTCTGGAAATCTCTTATGACTTGTGTACTCTCTTCCAAGATGGTGGAGAAATGGGGTCTCTTTCATACAGGGCAAGAGGAGGCTCTCTGTCTCCTTGAGCCATCAAGGAACAGGTGAGAGCAGGGGTCATTTCGTAGAAAAAGAGCTAGGGGAACTCATTAGCATAACTCATTAGCATATGCCGCACCCCCTGACATCAGGGGCCCGGCGGTGGACCTGCAAGGCCAGCGGGAGTGCGAGGAAGCTCCACCAAGGCCCTCCCTGGTCCCAGGCAGGCAGGGGTGGGGAGAGGCGGGGAGGAAACAACTTACCCTCCCTCTTCTCCTGCCTCCTGCTGACTGAATGAGGGCTGGAAGCGGGGCGGCAGGAAGCAGGGGGCGGGGCTTCATCATGTGCCCCGCCCCCCTGCACCTCACCCGGGGGAACTGCGTTCCCCCGCGTTCCCCCCCGAAATGACCTCTGGGTGAGAGACATAGTAGATGAAGGGTGGATGGGAAGGTAGGACACACTGACCAGAGAGCAGGGAGAGCAAGAGAGGCAGAGTCTGAGGACATGGCATCCAGTCTACAAAAGCCCTGGCTACAACAAGGCTTTGAAGTGCTAGACTTCCATTGCCTTTCACAAACAGGACGGAATCTGTATATAGCTGTATGAATGGGGAGAGGTTTATGTTTGGTAGAACAGGTTCACTTCCTCAGGTACCTTTTGTGCTCCATAGATTCCTTTGATATGTGGCTTGGATCACTTTGTTTAGTGTACGGATCTAGAGCTCCTTGCCACATATTCACAGATTCTCCTAGAATCGCCTCCAAATGCTCATTCTCCATGTTTCCCATCTATAAAATGGGCATATTGGTTTCTGGAATGGCGTCAACATGCTTAATTGCTAAAGTTGCTAACCTCCCGGTGAGACCTAAGAACTCCTGGGAATTACAACTGATCTCCCAGTGACAGAGATCCGATCCCTTGTAGAAAATGGCCGTTTTGAAGGGTGGAGTCTATGGCATTACACCTCACTGGGGTCCCTTCCCAGCCTCCACACCCAAATCTCCAGGAGTTTCTCAAACTAGAGTTGGCAACCTAATTCCTTCCCAAAGAGCCTGCTGGGTGAATGAGAGATGTTTCTGTAACTGAGCACTCCTTCACTTAGGCTGGATTGCTCTGGACTAATCATGCTGGAGGAACCCCCTGTGGATTGCCCTGAACATTAATTGGGCTTTTAGCTTAGAAGGAACACACAAACACAGCGTCCTGTGGTTAAGAGCGGTGGACTCTAACCTGGAGAACCGGGTTTGATTCCCCACGCTTCCACATGAAGCCAGGCAGGTGACCTTGGGTCAGTCACAGTTCTCTCTCACAGCCCCACCTGCCTCACAGGGTGTTTCTTGTGGGGAGGAACCCCCTGTGGATTGCCCTGAACATTAATTGGGCTTTTAGCTTAGAAGGAACACACAAACACAGCGTCCTGTGGTTAAGAGCGGTGGACTCTAACCTGGAGAACCGGGTTTGATTCCCCACGCTTCCACATGAAGCCAGGCAGGTGACCTTGGGTCAGTCACAGTTCTCTCTCACAGCCCCACCTGCCTCACAGGGTGTTTCTTGTGGAGAGAGTAAGGGAAGGCAATTGAAAGCCGCTTTGAGATTCCCACAGATAAAGGAAAGCGGAGTTATAAAAACCAGCTCTTCTTCTAAAACCCACACACGAGGATTGTGCAAAAGTAGATTTTTTATTATTTATTTATTTATTTTTAAATTTATATCCCGCCCTCCCCGAAGGCTCAGGGCGGCTCACAAGGGGCATAAATGCCAAAGTTAAAACAATAAAACAATACAAAACAGCATAAAATACAATAAATACAATTCACTAAAAATTGTTTTATTGGATTGCTATATACAGATGGCCGTGGTTGTACTGTAACTGCTCCAGGTCTGCTCCTTGTGCCTGGTCTTTTCCACCCTTCCGGTTCCTTGTGCCTGGTCTTTTCCACCCTTCCGGTTCCGCTGAAGTGCTTCTCTCCCTTCTTCTCGGGTCTTGGGTTTGTGTATACGACCAACTCAAGCGACTCCTTCCTGCCAGCGGACTCGTGCTTTACAGTTTGTGTGGCAGAGGACGCTCTCCACGTGACATGCCTGACATGGGAAGAGAGCTGTATAAAGGCAGACATTGTGCCACGTTGTAGGGCAGGCGCCGAAGAAACCCATGAGGAAAGTGAGGGCCAGAGATCAGGCAGGCCAAAGGAAAAATTAGCATCTGAATGGAAGAGAAGACAGACAGAAAGAGATATCTCTGTGTTGGCTGTCCAGGATGAGACGAGACCTCTGAAATGGAGGAATTGCTTCTGGACTATGGGTTCCATGGTGGGGTCCCAAACCGGGCAGGTAGACCTGCGATCTGTGTGGAGGGGCTTGCTCAGAAGCAGCCCTCTCGGGCCTGTGCCAAGGCTGGCCTTTGAAGAGACCCACCAGACGCTTGGGTGGTCTCTCTCTTTCAGCCGCATTTCAGCAAAAGAGGGGCCCTTGGGGTACTCAGGAACCAGCCGAGGCGACCGATGAGGGGCTTCCTCGGTGTGGAGCGGGGGCGGCTTCCCCACCCCCGTTTCCGTGGGAACCGGCCTTACCTGTCTTCGGCAGGAGCGCCCGGACTTCCGGGGGGACCTCTCTGCCCCGCCACAGGTTGTACAGGAGGGCAGAAAGGCTTTGCTTAATGTTGTCCTCCTGGGAAAATGGGGGAAATGCTCCCAATGATACAAGTCCTCCATTTTCTCTCAGCAAACGGCTGAACGGTTTGCCTCCCCCAGCCCCACCCGTGCTTGCTGAACCCCGGTGCTCACCTCCTCCTCCTCCTCCAGCAGTTCCTGCAACTGGCCCAGGAGGGAGTAGAGGAGAAAGAGGCCTCCCTCCCTCACCCACATTCTCCCAGGACGCTTCGCTGCAACCCTTCCTCTGTTTGTGGGTGAGCTGGTCCCAGGACACCTGAAAGCAACAAGTCACCCTTTGAGCCCTCTCTCTCCCTGCGTAACTGAAGCCGCAGAGGTGGAAGCTCTCTGGAGTCTCTTTCTTTGCATAGCCCCGGCTCCCACCTTTCCTCCGTCCCCTGCCTCATTCCCTGGCCAAAAGGAGACCTGAAACTCTCCTAGAGGCAGGGTCTCGCCTCTTCTCTTCTGGCTGGTCTAGTCGGGGCCGGGCACACTGAGGGTGCACAGAATTTGTAAAGGAATAAAAGGAGAGATTGGATTTATACCCCACCCTTCACTACCCAAAGGAGTCTCAGAGCGGCTTACAATCTCCTTTCCCTTCCCCTCCCCACAACAGACACCCTGTGAGGTGGGTGGGTCTGAGAGAGCTCTTTCAAGAACTGCCTGTGAGAGAACAGCTCTGAAAGAACTTGTAACTGACCCAAGGTCACCCCAGCAGCTGCATGCGGAGGAGTGGGGATCAAACCCGGTTCTCCAGGTTACAGTCCACACTCCTAACCACTACACCAAACTAGCTCTCTAGACTGACTGTTGAGCTGTGGCCTTCCTAAGGCAGAAGGAGAGGGCAATCTCTCTCTTCACTGCCCAAAGAATTCCCACTGGTGGTTCCCAACCTTCCTGGACAGGGAGGGGAATAAAGACCCCCCCCCTTTCCCTGGCCCCTCCCTCTCATGACATCACCTTTCCAGCACCACTGAAGATTTCCCTTACCTCACCCACTTGAATCAGGTGGAGAGTATCCTCCCAAGCCTTAGAAAACTGCCGCACTGAGATGGGAGGAGGGTCCAAGTCAGGCCAAGAGAGGAGGGATGTAATGATCTGTGTAGGACTGGGAGACAAGGCCTAGAGGCCTAGGCCCAGGAGAGACCTGTGTGGGAGTGGAAAGCCGACATAGCCTACAATCCCCACAGTGCTTATTGACGGTTGTAGCCAATCAGTGTCCAGGGATTGTGTGCGGAGATTGAGACTTTGTGGGCTGTGGAACTGTGTTCTTTTCTCTACTGCATTCTCTTCTCTCACATTCTCTGCTGGGCCCCCCACACACACACCTTTCTGGGGAGTGGAAGGGGTGGGGCCGTGGGGAGAAGTGGGAAGAGCATCATAGAGAGATTTGAAGGGAGGAGGGAAAAGGCAGGTTCGGTGACCAGAGGGTGCTGCCTGATTGCACCGAGGTCAGAGAGGAGACGACTGGCTGCCGTGAAAGGCTGCCGCTCTTGTCCCGCCCACTCACTCACCCAGATGGCACAGGAGCATGCTGTGCGGCTGGTTCAGGGTCTCCCTGGCCTGTGCCCAGAGGCTGGCTTCGGAGTCAACCAGGGAGACGGCCAGCTGCACCATCAGGTGACCCAGGGCAGCATCATCAGGCATCTAGAGAGAGGAGAAGAAGAGGCACGGCTTGCAAATCCCCAGGGAGCCAAGGAGCTCCGAGCCCTCTTCTTGGTTCATGGGCAGGTCCCTCCTGGAAAATCAACCCTGTGGTCTCCTTTTGCCAGGAACCTTCCAAGTGTTGGGCCGTAACCCTTCAGCCTCTGTTTTCTTGGCCCCACGGTCTGCCCCTTGTTCCCGTGACCGGCCATCCTTCTGCAAGAAGTGATTGCCCAGCATGTCCTGCCTTGGCCTATTTGCAGCATGGCGAGAAGCCAAAGGAATAGGCAGGGGACGCCCAGCATCACCCAACTCTAGCCGTCAAGGCCCAGTGGCTCGCCCGCGACTTGGGTGTGAAGCCCACAACAGAGACATTGCCTTGAGAACCAAGAGCTGGACACAGGGAGAAGCGAGGAGAAGAGGGGCCCTTTGGGGCCTCCAGAGCAGGAGAAGCTAAAGGGTCTTGAGTGGCCCGTGAAATTTCCTTGCTGAAGCCATGCTGAGTGAGCCAGAAAGCGGACGCAGATCTCTCGCAAGCCAGTCCAACCCAAGACTCTTCCCCCTCCCACCCTCCCCATCTGAGTGGAGAGAGGAGGAGGTCCCAGAGTCAGCCTGGGGGGGATGTCTGAAGGCGACTTGGAGGCCAGAGGCCCCATCCTCAGCTCCGTCCCCCACCGAGGGACTCGGGCTGCCCAGCTTCTTTTGCTTTGCTCCGTAGCCCCGGGAGCCAAGCCCTGCGTATGGGAGAAGAGGGGGGGGGGGACATACCTCGAAGGAGGGCAGATGGCTGGCATGCTGCAGGAGGGAGCTGCCGAGAGAGAGGGCACTGGCTCTCACAGCCACCTGTCTGCTCCGCAGGGAGTAGCCCAGAAGCTGTGGAAGCAAGCGGCACCGTTTTCAACGGGGGCTCTGCTCCTGTGGGACGGCTGCCTGCAGCCCTCCTAGTCTTGTGCCTCAGGCCGAGAGATGAGGGGAGCGGTCTCCCACCCAGGCTGCCTCTTCCCGGGCTCTGAGGACCCTCCGGAAGCCAGGGGCCAACTTCAACACTTGGCCAGCTCCCGACGGCTTCACCCTGCCTGTAGGGGACTGCAGGTGGGGACGTTTCTCTATCAAATACCGTGCTCTGGAGCCAAAGCCAGAGCACGTCAGCTGTGAGTGGGAGAGCGGTGCAGTGGTTAGATCAGCACACCAGGGCCAGAGGGGGAACCCTGCAATGTCGTGACTCACTTCGGACCAGTTTTTCTTTCTCAGCCAAGTTTACCTGACAGGTGGTGAGCGTGAGAAGAGGGAGACCATTTAGGCAGCCCTGATCCCCCATTGGGAAAACAGGAGGTGGGAATAGAAAGGTACGAGGGGAAGGGGAAGCTCAGGCGGAGCCCTCCTCCCTCCCCAGCTTGCTTTCTTTTTCCGATGAGGCAGCAGTGAAAAGCTCCCTCTGCCAGCTGCACCATCAAGCGTCGAATGAAATGTAGTCCTGAGATTCCAAGAGGGAACCGGACTGGCTCCCAGGAAACCTGCAGTTTGGGGGGGGGGGGCGTTGCTCCTGGGGGGAGGCTCTTTGGCCCTGTGTCCCCAGGGAAGAAGCCACTTGCTTTGCTGCTGGCCACCGGGCACCTGGCGTGATGGTGCTTTTGAGCGGCCAGTGGAGGTGGGGCCCCAGTGGGCTTTCTGCTGACCCCGAGGTGAGGCTTCCTCCCCGCCAGGCTCCCGTTTGCCCCCCAACCTCAATGGGGATGTCCATCCCCCCATCTTCTCTCCCACACACTTACTTCAAGGAGGCCCACCAGATGGCCAGCAGACGGGTCCTCCCGCAGCATCCTCTGGAGGCCTTCCTCGGCTGCTGCTCGTGCACCCTGAAAGGAAGGCGGAGCCGGTGTGGGGGTGCTGAATCCCCTGCCCCTTCCCCCCAGCAAGCCTTGACGGACAGCCTGTCACTCTCCTGCTGGAAAACAAAATACAACAAACCAGAGATACACAGTAAGGAACAGCAGGAAGAACAAAGCTGTGTACAAAACGAGCCACCAAAAATCTTCAAAAAGGTTGCATTTCTACAACAAGAATATTTTATAGTCTCAAAAGATCTAATCCAAAATAACAGGGCAAATGTCCATACAGAATAAGGCTGAATGAGTAAACAGCTGTAACATCAATCCTCAGTGTTTAAGGAACAAGAGAAAAATGATTCCAGTCAAAGGTTCCTGTAGTTCCCTTTCACGCAATAGCTAGCTGCGGCTTATCGCGTTCCCCCCACAAGCTTCTTGCATCTGAATTGATCTGAATTTGTGAGCTGTATGCTGATTTCCGAATATTGTGTAAGCCTGGATTTGGAAGCAAGTGATCATAAGGTCCCACTTTTTGAAGAAGCTTGTGGGCGGAATGCGATAAGTCGCATGAAACGGAACCACAGGAATCTTTGACTGGAATCATTTTTCTCTTGTTCTTTTAAAGTGTTTCCTGGGTGAACACTGAAGATTGATGTTACAGCTGTTTATTCATTCAGCCTTATTCTGTATGGACATTTGCACTGTTATTTTGGATTAGATCTTTTGAGACTATAAAATATTCTTGTCGTAGAAATGCTACCTTTTTGAAGACTTTTGGTGAATCATTTTGTACACAGTCTTGTCCTTATCGCGACTCTCCTGCTGGAAGCAGGCCGCTGGATTCAGGACCCACAGAGGGACCCCTGTCTCCTGGGGGAAGGGGGGGCAGCGGTGTAAGCAAAGGGGCCTCCAGGAAGGATGGAAGGAGAACAGGGCTGGATCCTGAGGCACACCGGTCATGTTTTCCTCGTGGGAAGCAAACCGATGGCGTGACCTCTGTGATGTCATGGGGGGGAGGGGTGAAAGCGCTGCTCTGGCTTATCTCAGAGCAAAACTCTTCCTCTTTGGGGTTGCCCTCTGATTTTGGATCTAACTGTTGAGGGCCCCCTGGTTAGCCAAGCTGGCTCAAACCATCAGCCCTTTATTTGAAAGGAGACAACTTCGGCTAACCTGTAGGGAGGGGGAGGAGGGGATGGTGGTGGAAGCCCTTGTCTTTGACATGCTGTACTGGAGGGCTGGTTCCAAAGCAGCTCAAGATACCCAGGAAACAGGAGCTGACTGGGCTGAGCTGCACGCACCCTTAAAGGCTGCTTGGCGATGCTGGACGCTCTCATCCACACTGTTGCTCATCAGCGACAGGCTGAAGCAGTGGGCGTATGTGCCCCGGATTGCTTCTGAATCTTCCTGCACTTGCTGCAAGGCTTCCGACTGCACAGGAGAGATGGGGACTTAAGTTGGCAACAGCAGTTGGACAGCTGGGATCTCAGTTACAAATCCCCCCCCCCCCATGCACTTTGAACACCCAAGAGCTTGGGTATGGGATCTTTCAAGAGGTAAGGTAAAACCCATGTTAAATTGTATGTTTACCACATTGGTGCTGGGAGATTAGGGGGGGAAATCCAAAGGCGGCAGCAGATCAGATTTTGATCTGTACTAAGTAGTATTAATACAGAAACAAGATATGGTTGCCCATTAAAAAATCATAAAAGCTAGCACTAATTTCATAGAATCATAGAATGTTAGAGTTTGGAGGTACCTTGCAGGTCATCCAGTCCAACCCCCTGCACTCTGCAGGAGCGTAGCCGAAAGATAGCCCTACAACATACCCAAAAGATGGTCGTCCAGCCTCCGCTTGAAAATGTCCAGCAAAGGAGCATCCACCACCTCCAGAGGCAGACTGTTCCACTGCTCAACCACTCTTACAGTTAGGAAGTTTCTCCTGATATTTAGCCGGTAACGACTCCCTTGTAATTTCCACCCATTAGATCTAGTCTTGCAATCCGGAGCAAGAGAGAATAGATCTGCTCCATCTTCTACATGACAGCCCTTCAAATACTTGAAGACTGCAATCATCTCCCCTCTAAGCCTTCTCTTTCCCAGGCTAAACATACCCAACTCTTTCAGCCTTTCCTCATAAGACTTGGGTTCAAACCCTCTCACTATCCTGGTTGCCCTCTTCTGGACACGCTCGAGCTTGTCAACATCCTTCCTAAAATGTGGTGCCCAAAATTGGACACAGGACTCCAGGTGAGGCCTGACCACAGCAGAATAGAGTGGAATGACCACCATTTGAATCTGCCTCCAGCATATTCTACAGCTAAGAGCTGCTGGCCCTTGATGAACTTAGTTTTGTACTTTCCTTCAGTGAAGAAGGCGAAACCTCAAAAAAAGGATTCTTCACGATTTCCTGGGAGAGACCCAGGGCAAAACAGAAGAGGTCAGCGCTCCTTGGACTCTAGCCGGTCTCTTCCTGCTCCACGTTCTCTCCTTCCTCTCACTTGCACACATATCCTCGGAGCAGAAATGACTCTCTGGGATTCAAAGGATTTCACCCTGCCTTTCCCCAAGAGGGTCCAAGACAACTGAAAGTGCAGAATCAGCAAAACAGATCTGCCTGTCGTAAACACAAGCCAGTAAAACACAATAAAACAGCTGGCAAAAGACAAAGTAGAATCCTCTCCCCCCAAAAAAATTGCAGTCCTGGGATCTCCCCCCCAACCCCCACCCCACTCACGGGGATGCTGGCCCGGAGTCTCACTCACCTTTATTTCCTCCCCGATCGCCTCCTTGCTGAAAGGGGGGGGGCAGACCCTTGCTTTCTCGGACCTCGCACACCCTGCTGACGGCCCACAAGAAATTAATCTGCAGTTTCCGGACCTGGAAGTTGCAAGAGTGAGGCTGTGAGCAGAGCGAGGAGAGCTGTGGGTCCCTGCTGCATGGCAGAGGGCGGGGAGGGTAGGATTCTCAACTCCCCCCC